AAGGTCCCTGCAAAATTTCATTGAAATTGGTTCAGGGGTTTTGGAGAAGAAGTCGAAAATGTAAATTGTTTACGGACGCACGACGGACGACGGACGACGACGGACAAAAGGCGATCGCAATAGGTCACTTGAGACTTTGTCTCAGGTGACCTAATAAAAAGTCCCAGGCGTATTATATATTGACTTAGCCCCAGTATCACAAACCAATATAACATTTGAAAATAAGTCTCAGCAGTAGGCCTGTTATAATTAGAAATATGTCCATGAAACAGGAATACCCCAATCCTACGAATAAAAGCATAGATCTGATATTAATATTCTATGCATCAGAGTTCACTATTAATGCAGTTCATGATTCAACACTGAAATAAAACCAATAAGACAAACCAGATTTTTGTTCTGCTGGGGAGTTAGTCGGCGATGCCTGAGGAACTGGTGTTCCCGCCTTTGATGGCGTAGATGTTCCAGACTTGGCAGGAGATGGTGTTCCCGGGGTTGACTGTCCCTCTTCTCCAAGTGGTTCCGGTCTCTGGGACTTCCTTGTCCCTTTAACATAAATGCATGTTCAGTAAGTTAGACTTTCATATCGTATTCACATAATTGGCCTCATCACAGATCTCAACAGGCAAGGACCTGTACCATTTAGCAGTACTAGTAAATTATAATGATAGTGTATTTACCTTTCCATTGTACAGCTTCCAACAAATAAACCTACCGACTGAGAATATTATCATAAAAGCAATGAACATAATACAATACACTGAAAAATATTATACAGAAATGTTTTCTAATCTGAAACTGCTCAGGTCTTTCCATCATTATGTGTTGTTTTTTTCGTCATAATGCAGTGTTCAGACTTATTGGTAGACCTTAGACAATTACCATTAAAAACATGTTGGTCTATGGGAATCTATGACTTCATAAACTAAGTTGTCTATGGGAATCTATGGCTTCATAAACCAAGTTGTCTATGGAAATCTATGACTTCATAAACTAAGTTGTCTATGCGTATCTATGACTTCATAAACCAAGTTGTCTATCGTAATCTATGACTTCATAAACCAAGTTGTCTATGGGAATCGATGACTTCATAAACCAAGTTGTCTATGGGACTCTATGACTTCATAAACTAAGTTGTCTATGAAAATCTATGACTTCATAAACCAAGTTGTCTATGGAAATCTATGACTTCATAAACCAAGTTGTCTATCGGAATCTATGGCTTCATAAACCAAGTTGTCTATGGGAATCTATGACTTCATAATCCAAGTTGTCTATGGGAATCTATGACTTCATAAACTGAGTTGTCTATGGGAATCTATGACTTCATAAAACAAGTTGTCTATGGGAATCTATGACTTCATAATCCAAGTTGTCTATGGGAATCTATGACTTCATAAATTAAGTTGTCTATGGGAATCTATGACTTCATAAATTAAGTTGTCTATGGGAATCTATGACTTCATAATCCAAGTTGTCTATGGGAATCTATGACTTCATAAAACAAGCTGTCTATGGGAATCTATGACTTCATAAACTAAGCTGTCTATGAAGTTATTTATGGGAATCTATGACTTCATAAACCAAGTTGGCTATGGGAATCTATGACTTCATAAACTAAGCTGTCTATGAAGTTATTTATGGGAATCTATGACTTCATAAACCAAGTTGTCTATGGCAATCTATGACTTCATAAACCAAGTTGTCTAACGGAATCTATGACTTCATAAACCAAGTTGTCTAACGGAATCTATGACTTCATAAACCAAGTTGTCTAACGGAATCTATGACTTCATAAACCAAGTTGTCTATCGGAATCTATGACTTCATAAACCAAGTTGTCTAACGGAATCTATGACTTCATAAACCAAGTTGTCTATCGTAATCTATGACTTCATAAACCAAGTTGTCTATGGCAATCTATGACTTCATAAACCAAGTTGTCTAACGGAATCTATGACTTCATAAACCAAGTTGTCTATCGGAATCTATGACTTCATAAGCCAAGTTGTCTATGGGAATCTATGACTTCTTAAACTAAGTTGTCTATGGAAATCTATGACTTCATAAACCAAGTTGTCTAACGGAATCTATGACTTCATAAACCAAGTTGTCTAACGGAATCTATGACTTCATAAACCAAGTTGTCTAACGGAATCTATGACTTCATAAACCAAGTTGTCTATCGGAATCTATGGCTTCATAAACCAAGTTGTCTATGGAAATCTATGACTTCATAAACCAAGTTGTCTATCGTAATCTATGACTTCATAAACCAAGTTGTCTATCGGAATCTATGACTTCATAAGCCAAGTTGTCTATGGGAATCTATGACTTCATAATCCAAGTTGTCTATGGGAATCTATGACTTCTTAAACTAAGTTGTCTATGGAAATCTATGACTTCATAAACCAAGTTGTCTATGGGAATCGATGACTTCATAAACCAAGTTGTCTATGGGAATCATTGACTTCATAAACTAAGTTGTCTATGGGAATTTATGACTTCATAAACCAAGTTGTCTATGGAAATCTATGACTTCATAAACCAAGTTGTCTATCGGAATCTATGGCTTCATAAACCAAGTTGTCTATGGGAATCGATGACTTCATAAACCAAGTTGTCTATGGGAATCTATGACTTCTTAAACTAAGTTGTCTATGGAAATCTATGACTTCATAAACTAAGTTGTCTATGGGAATTTATGACTTCATAAACCAAGTTGTCTATGGAAATCTACGACTTCATAAACTAAGTTGTCTATGGGAATCTATGACTTCATAAAACAAGTTGTCTATGGGAATCTATGACTTCATAAATTAAGTTGTCTATGGGAATCTATGACTTCATAATCCAAGTTGTCTATGGGAATCTATGACTTCATAATCCAAGTTGTCTATGGGAATCTATGACTTCTTAAACTAAGTTGTCTATGGAAATCTATGACTTCATAAACCAAGTTGTCTATCGGAATCTATGACTTCATAAGCCAAGTTGTCTATGGGAATCTATGACTTCTTAAACTAAGTTGTCTATGGAAATCTATGACTTCATAAACTAAGTTGTCTATTGGCATATATGACTTCATAACCTAAGTTGTCTATTGGAATCTATGACTTCATAATCCAAGTTGTCTATGGGAATCTATGACTTCATAAACCAAGTTGTCTATGGGAATCTATGACTTCATAAACTAAGCTGTCTATGAAGTTATTTCCTTTATGACAATTCATTAATAAGTGGAGATAGACCTACTCTCTATGGTGTGTAAAGTCACAAAAACAATTGTGTCCACCTGAAAGACCTATGGAATTCAGCTACGCTTTTAATATTTCTAATCTCACTTATGTATTATATATGACTGTGTGATGCAGAAAAAAAACTCCAAAAATTTACCTAAAATCTTTGGTTCATTTGGTGGTTTTAGCTTATATGAATCAGAATGAAGATAACCCTACAAAATATTAGTGATAATTTTGCATTGTCCATAGAAATAAATCAAGCATTCTTCCCCTACCTTTTTTCTTCGGACTCCCTGAAGAATCTGCCATTTTGATATTTGCTGTTTCCTTTAATATAGTTCTTCAGCTATAAGTAAAATGGTAAAACAATGTCATTTGTAAATTTTCACAAAAAGTGAAATGTTAAATATTAAAATAGCAAACTAAATTCTCAGAAATTTAATACATACATGTGTATTTTTATTTTGTCCACTCAAATTGAAAAATAACCAGTGTTATGTTAAGGTAGTCATTATTCCAATGGTAAAGCTCACTATATGACTTTGGTCAATCACGAGTCCTGATTTCTAAGAAAGGAAACTTTATATTGTCAAGATTATTAAAAAAATAGATTTCAGCATGTATGCAATCTTTAATATTGAATGTATTAATTCAAAGTTAAATGAAAAGATTATAATTTTCATTTCAATTTTGACTATGATCTGAATATAGAGGCAGATATGCTTTCGTTCAGAATAAACAAGGTTAAACAAGTGTGGGAGGGTAGGTTGTTTACTTCTCACATTTGTATTACTTTGTTAAGTATAATTGTTGTTTATGATTTTCAGTCAGGGCGCTGTTACTTTCTGTGTTATTCACCCTTATGTAGGGTAGGGCTTTTTGTTCAGTGTAGGATTCCTGGCGATCAGCTGCTACGATACCGGTGCTGAAATCTGTGTGTTTACACTTTTGAGACGGCCGGAAGGGGGTGATAGTAATAACAGGAATAGGTTCCCGCTCCTTGCTCACATGCTTTTAGATGATGAGGCTGGGTTCGAGATTAACAGTTGATCACTCATCTTCGAGGCTATTTGGTGGGGGGAGCAGGGGGTATAAAACAGCGGGTCCGGGCGGGGATCAGTGTCTTGACAGGGTCGGTGAGCCGACCCACTTCTCCTGGTGAGGAGAACATTACCGCCTCATGCGCTGTTAACAGTGCAAAACATGGGCCGAGGTGCTGCTAACAGTACCAATACCGTAGGACTACATGAAGTTATCGTTCCTGGGATATATAGAGTGCTATAGGAACTACAGTACATGTATTAAGGGATAGTCAGGGGCTTCGGGCTTAGACATCGATACATGGTGGTTCGCTGTAGATCTATAGGGAGCTAGGAGCACGTGGTCGTAGTCTACTGGTAGTACTGTTAGGTAGGATAGGTCATTACTCTACGTAGGGGTTGGGTTTCTTAACATTAGTTGTCATTGTTCGGCACTAATGCTATGCTTTGTATTTGTTAAACTTGTTGTACATATTCATTCCGTCTTGTTAATAAACAGTTACTTGTATTTTAAACACCTTGAGTTATTGAATCAATGGCTGGTATTACCACTACATCCAGCGATCGAACCTGTAGTGAAAACAGGTCTGTAACCTGATGAAAGAGGCGAGGTCTAGAGAGGACAGCAGGGGAAGTTGTCGACTCGTTACCATTGCTAAAAACTATACGATCACGAAACGGATTTAACGGAGTGACAACGGATGCAAAACCCTCTCCGGACCTCCCCCTATTACACAAGAAGTTAAATGATTTGCTTTTCTTCAGTCAGATTTCCAATGACTTCTAAATTGAAATTGTATTACACTGTTGATAAAAATTCAGCTTCAGGTTTTATATTTCCTATATGTATAATCCCCTACCCCTCATCCTGAAATATTTAAAATAAAATAATTGTTCGTTAATGGTATATTTACCATTTACAGGTCGTGATTGTGAGGTCTGTTAACCCACTGTTACCTATTTCTAATCATTTTTTAGCACTGTCATGATCTAATATTGCGATTTCACAGCTGACTTATAGTATTAAAACTTTTTTTTCACCACTCATCAGTTTCAGTTCATTATGAAGCAAAACCATATTGCAATATATTGCTATATTTAACTGAATATCAATGCAATATATTGCTGAGAACTAAAAAGTCTCTGTTAATGCATTTTTAATTTCGTGTAACTGCAGTATTTTTGTGCTATATATAAATAAATAAATAACATATTTTATCAATGCGTTTTAGCAAGGATTCATGCAGTCATAATAATTTCAACACCATATGTTCCCTCTTAGTGCGAGAAATAAAGGAAACTGACTGTGAAATAGTATGGGCCGAAATCAACATCGAAGGCTCCAAAAAACTACTTGTGGCATCATACTATCGCCCACCATCTGACACAGAAAACTCGTTAGAACAACTACACCAGTCCATAAATAGAATAAACCAATCATCTAACACCAATATCTGGATTGCAGGCGATTTCAATCTTGGCCATATTGACTGGTCTGTTCCATGTGTCATAGCAGGCAAACCCAATCCAAAAATACACCATCAATTTTTAGATATTATCAACGACACTAACCTTACACAAGTAGTTGATGTCCCATCAAGAAACAACCAAATACTTGACATCATTCTAGTAAATAACCCCTCATGTGTCAGTCGTGTTAATACTTTACCACCCATTGGCCTCAGTGATCATGACATAGTGTATATGGAGGGGAGATATCTGGCTACGCAGGGTAAGAGATAAACCCCGTAAAATCTACAAATACGACCAGGCAAATTGGGACCAGATAACACAGGACCTTAACAACATCCATACATGGTTGCCAGGTGAAATAAACACCTCAGACCCTGATGTAGATACACTCTGGAAAGTATTTAAAGACGGCATTCTAAATTCTATCGAGAAAAACATACCGCACAAATGGCTAACGTACAAAAACAGACTACCCTGGATACACAACAAACTTCGGAAACTTATCAATAAGAAAAACAAACTATACAAAAGAGGAAAGACCCCAAATACTCAAATAAATATAAAGCAATAAAAATGCAAATTCAAAAAGATCAGAGACAAGCATATTGGAACTACATAGAAAAAAATATCTGTGACATACCAATTACTGATCCCGACCAAAAAGTATCTCGTGACTCCAAACCAAAAAATCTCTTTTCGTACACAAAATCTATCTGCACAGAAAATACCAGCATATCGCCCCTTTAACAAAATGGTATCTTAACCACAGACACAGTTGAGAAGCCAATATTCTAAATGACCAGTTCCAATCTGTTTTCACTGTTGAACCAAATGATAATATCCCTGATAAAGGCCCAAGTCCCCACCCTGATATTGAACCTCTATACATAACTATACCAGGCATTGAAAAACTCCTGTCCAATCTAAATCCCCATAAAGCTAGTGGCCCAGACAACATTTGTGGCAGAATTCTAAAAGAACAACAAAAATATATAGCTCCAATCCTCACTATCATCTTTAATAAATCAGTAAATTCAGGCCAAGTTCCTCAGGATTGGAAACATGCAAATGTGGCACCAATTTACAAAAAGGGAGAGAAATACAAACCCGAAAACTATCGACCCATTTCATTAACTTGTATCTGTTGTAAAATTTTGGAACATGTAGTAACTAGCCACACCATGAAACACCTGGAAAAACACAACATACTTTATGATTTACAACATGGGTTTAGAAAAGCACGCTCCTGCGAATCTCAACTTCAGTCATTTGTCCACGAACTTTCGCAATCACACAATAAAAATATTCAAATTGACTTAATAATTATGGATTCCGCTAAAGCTTTTGATAAAGTCCCACACAAACGTCTCTTAATACAAACTAAAATTTTATGCTCAAGTCATACTAGATGGTGAATCCTCCAATACAGCCCCTGTCACATCTGGCGTACCCCAGGGTACAGTCCTAGGACCAATTCTTTTCCTTATTTATATAAATGACTTCCCAGAATACCTCAATCATAGCACGTCACTTAGACTTTTTGCAGACGATAGTATTATTTATAAAGAAATAAGATCTGACCATGACTGCATGCTTTTATAACAAGATCTTGACGCTGCAGCCAATTGGGAAAGAGACTGGCTAATGGCATTCCATCCTGACAAGTGTACAGTTATGACTATATCATCCAAAAAGCATCCTTTTTCTCATAAATATGTTCTCAACGGGCATACCCTAGAAACTGTCACTTCAGCTAAATACCTGGGAGTCACACTTTAATCTGATTTAAAATGGTCCAAACATATAGAAAATACAGCCGCTGCAGCAAATAGATCTTTAGGCTTTTTGAAAAGAAATCCCAAAACAGGAAACAATGACATTAAAAGTAAAGCCTATCTGTCACTAGTCCGCCCTAAATTAGAATACGGCTGTACCCTGTGGGACCCACACACATCATCAATATCCAAACTTGAAATGGTACAGAGATGCGCTGCCAGGTATACCTGCAATAGGTATCACAATACCAGCAGTGTCTCTGACATGTTAAGCACACTACAGTGGCCAACACTCGCAGAACGACGTCTTAAGGCCCGCCTCATTCTTATGTATAAGACAGTACATGACCTTAATAAATAGTCGCCATCTCCAGTTCCTCCATTCTCATATCATCAGACAGTCAAACTCGTCAAAACCACTCTCTCTCCTTCAGACACATTCACTCAACCAAAGACAGCTCTAAATATTCTTTCTTCCCTCGAACAATCACCCAGTGGAATCTTTCCCACCCACTGTGGTGATGTCTCCATCCGTTGATGTATTCCGAGTACAGCTAACTCCAGCTGTACTCGTTACATTCCTCTAAGCACCACTCCATATGTATATATAGTTTTAACCTCACTGTTTTTAAATCCACCCATTGCACAGCACACACAACAGTCCGTAATCTTCAAATGATTGAAGGAGGATTGGATAACGAAAGAAGAAGAAGAAACAAAACTCTATACTGTGCTGTTTTTTTAACACTTGCAGTTTAGTATTAGTAATAATGCATTGATACACTGGTATATCAGTAACATTGACCACTCCTAGATTTCATCTCAATAAAATAATAGTAAGTGTAACAAAAAGTTAATAAATCATTTAGATAACATCCTGGTTGAAACTGTATACAGTCTTGTGTCCCTTTTGTGTCATGTCAGGAGAAGTAATAAACTACTAAATCTGTAATAAGATGTAATTATGTTTGACTAAACAACAATGTTGTACTTAGATTTTACTTATTTTGCCGTTGCAATGTATTGTAAATGCAGCAAACTAACGTTTCAAAAACATTTTGTCACAATTTGTATGCCGTAAAAGAAAGATGGCATTCTGCCAGAAGAAACTAATCAAACGGAAATTAACTTTTAGTTTCCTAGCCTTAACAAACACATATTGCGATTGGCATTGATACATATTTTACATATTATCAAAACAAAATTAAGCAATCATAAGTATGTATTTGACATCGACATCTTGAGTAAATATTTCATCTGAAAGTAAGAACGTTTCACGCACCTGTGCATCGCTAAGCAGCAGCCATTTTCAAACAAACTCTGACGTCAATTAAAAGGGAAATAACTCTTTCTCAGTAAAGCGGAACCGGTAAAACGCAAATCGGACGTCGATCCGATTTCACCGGAAGTGTGCCGAAACCCCGAAACCGACAACAATGTCGGTTCAGTCTTTGGTTAGTCGAAAGAAAAAGAGCTTTATTGGTCTCCCTGCTCCGCTTGGATATGTTCCTGGCTTAGGGAGAGGGTACGTATACGGATTTTCTTATTGTGTACACTTATTGCAGGATGTCACATGAAATGACGTTGATTTGTCTTTCAGCGAGATAGACAAAACCAGTTTTGACGGTTCACGTTTCTTTTGCGTTTTGATTATGGTTATTTATGTACAATGTACTTATTTAATATATATATTGCGTCACTTACAAGTGTATCATGTACTCTTATATCATTTTTATATGAAATATTTAATATTTAGCTGAGGGAATGAATAAATAAACGATCCGACTCAAATTCAGCCAATGTTACCTATTTTGACGGCCGATGTTGTTATTTCTTAAGATTTTGTACATGTATTGTATGTGATATTTAAAATTAACGAATTATTTGTAGCGTTAGCCAGAGGCGTAGAAAGTCTCGAATACAGAGAAATAAATATCGATACGGTTGTGGCATAACACAGGAGTCTGACGTTTTTTTCGATCTTTATGTATACATATAAATGTTAAAAAATACCCCTTATAATTGTGATAAGTAACAAAGACAATGAATTCTGTTGTTTACTATCCATTTTATTTGTTGCTAGGTCGGCGCATGTGCAACAGTTGTAAAAAATCCACCTGCAAATACAATTTCCCATTAGAACTTGAATATATATTACACAAGGTATTTGCATCAATGCCAGTGTTTTGCGTCATTTAAGACAACATAGAAAACAAGATAACATAATATTCAGTTGCATAAATACCTTTGACTTGACGTAGTGAACCTTAGTCAGGAAATATGAAATCTAGCTGTAGTCGTTGTAGTGTAATGGAAATCAGTGTCCGTAGGAACTGCATAATTCCACATAGCAAGTGTGCCACGCTGACCTAACCAACCCCTTTTATACATGCTCGTACACACCCCTTTCACATCACAGCTCACATGCATGCATTTCACACTCGGACACACTTCCCGAACAACAAATGGACAAACGTTGACGATGTAAACAGGTGAAAGGGAAATCCCCTACATCACTCAGACTACAGGTCATGTCCTGTAAATAGTAACACACATAAACAAACGACCCTATAACATAATATATACAGCTTATATATTGATAAAACATCAGATTCCTGTGGCCATTACATTGTTTCAGAATTTCAGATTTTGCACCTATTGTTATGCATACCTTATACATTGTCAATACATAACCTTTTGACAGTTACTTGTCAAACAATTTTACTTTTTTCAAGCAGCACAGGACATTCAAATAAAACTTAGTGAAAACTTGTCATGTCATCACGTGAGAGAAGGCTAAATGTTTGACCATATGTTTTTATATTTAGTACGTGTGATGAGCATCATATGCATTTACAGTTAGCTCATATATATATACCGTTGTATATACATTAAAACTGATCCAGTCATTTCCCCCTAAATCCCGTTCAAACTACAGGTTGTTTCGCCCTAAATCCAGTTCACCAAATGTTGTATCGTCCTAAAATAATTATATATTTTATTTTACGAATATCACTTGAATTTTTTTTAATTATGAAAAAACTCTTACTATTTTCTTGTTTCACAACGGAATTAGATCAAAGTCTATGGTTTTCACTAGCAAATGTCTTGTTGAAATAATTCCATACTACATTTATGTGTAGATATGGTCAACCATATTAAATCTAACAAGTCTAATATAACAAAAAACCTAAGGGAGACCTAGGAAAACTTCAAATTAGACTAGTACCAGTGATATATACAGGCCTTTTTATGGCTGATTATGGGCCAACTATAACACTTCCACATGAATATCTGTCTATTGAGTTTATATTTTTTGTCAGTTTGAATTGACTACTGAGTGATTTACTTCATTTTCTCTGTGTTCATGTTGTCACCGCTAGTATTTTACAACACTGTTTATGGCTGGCCTTGTTTACAGTATGTGATTGGAAGCGTCTATAATGAACAGGGAGAACCAAAAGTTAAAGATGTCATTCATGTCCAATCCATATTTTCCCCTATTTCAAAAGAAGGTACTAGCTTTCTATTCCTGTATTAATCCCTGAGTACGCTATACTATATTTAGCCATATACACAACTATTTATATATATTAGCAGGACTAAAAAAAGCATTGAGTACTGGATATTTTGTATTAATTAGCATGGTTGTTGATAGAATCTGCTGTTTAATTCTCACTTCACTCTCTGCAGCTGGTATGTACTACAGTAGGTGTCCAGGTGATGAATCTTACATACTGTAATTCAATAAGAATTTGAATGATTTACTAGTCTACTGTTTGTTAATATAGGATATTAACGAAAGTTTGTACAACAAAATGATCTGAATATATATATATAGCTTAAACCACGAAGGAAAGTACTCACGAACATTTCATGTTTTACAGTACAAGGATTTGATTGATAGCTTCGATTCATAGTCTAACAGTTATTTGTCACAACTGTCCATAGGTACACTATTTCATCTCACAAAATAATTCGCCCATGGATTATGTCATTTGTATGACAATACTCTGAGTGATTTTTATAGGATACATGCTTTTTCCAGTGCGACTTTCTCACACTTTGAGAATCAGATTAGCTTACTGTGTTATTCCTATTATGTTTTCAGAGCTACAGGATTCACCACCAGATCTGATATTGGTCCTGCCCGTGACATAGATGATATATCGTAAGTAACGGTTGTAGATCAATCTATCATTATCTTCAGAACTGCATGTATGTAAAATGAATAAGTCTTTTAAGGCATTTGGACTTTCTTGTTCAAGTCGGCAAATCAGCATGGGACATTTCCATTACCTATCGGTTTATGACACATTATTCTTTGACAACAAGATGTCTGTAGTCCACCAGAAAAACACTTAATTGTATAAGTACAACAATTTCCTACTCATTTTGGGAATTTCTATTTATTTTCTTAGCTAATAGAACAATTTACAGGTAACCATATATATACAGTATATCAAAACAATATTCCTTAATTATCATGTAAGTTTTTAATTGCAAAGTTTCTTTCTGCTATAAAACAAAATGTGATTATATATCTTAGTTCACACAAAGTGAATTGTTTTATATACTAGTTATTTTTCAGAAAACCACAAAACTTACCATGATTTAAAAACAATAATTCTTCAACAAATTTTCATTAAAAGGTAAAAGGTGAAATTAAACTTAATGTAGACAGTATCTGTTAGGTACCATAAGTGATTGTCCATATATATATACAACGAATAGACATCAAGTTAATATTACAAAGAATTTTGACATCAATGGATTGCACAAATTGAAGCTTCTAACTCTAATTATAACATACCGACATGCGCACTTGCACGGAGATATGATAAACATGTTCCAGTTTATGAATGGGCTATATGAAAATACTTAACTGCAACTTCAAAGAATAATCAATATCTTGAATATTCTCCCACAGGATGTTAGTTCATCTTGTAACGTATACGTATTTGACTTTGAGAATGCCTGGTTGAATTCTGGAAAGGTCTTGAGTTGAAGTACAATCATACAGCGTCTTATATATAGACTCATTTTATGTTGACAAACTATATTGATGTGGATAAAGAGGCAGCAATGCCTGCGCCCACTAATATCCTATTAAACAATTTTGTGTAATTATGAGATGTATGTACATATATATATACACACTACACATATCAGTTGTTCACTTCAGACTAGTACGTCCTTCTCTACTGAACTGATATTGTGATCACATGTTTTTATCAAATGTCTTCTCCAGAGATGATAGACATGCCCCACCAGTCAAGAAAAATAAAACTGACGAGGAAGAGGAAGAAGATCTTAATGAAGCTAATTTTGATGAGGTATTTAAGTGACTTTTGGCTCAGTTTAATAGCCGAATACAGAATACAGACTGTTTCCCCTAGCTAAAAAGTGTCTTATTTTCCCAAAATGACCAAAAAAGAGAAATATGTTCCCTATTGCAAAAAAAATAAAGCTATATTTTTCCAATTCATAAAGGAACAGGCTTTTATAAAATTCAGGTTAAAAAACACTGTTTCGATGAGGTATTTATCATGATGTTAAACATGTAATCTACAGAACTAATTTTGGTAATTATCAACAAAATATCTGAATCAAAATTCCTACCTGCATCTGTTGGCTGGGAGCGGGTCTAGTGTAGAAAACATCTGATCACCAATTCTGTGCATTACTAGTAATGTAAGACAGAGTTTTCTATGACCGATATAAAGCTGTGAAGGATAAAACTATCGTACATGGACCTGATGTCACAATGCAAAGACAAAGAGTTCATGTCACAACAAGATTTCCGTCATTTTAATCCATTTTGCTGATTTAACATTTATATTTTCCAGATAAAATATTTTATCTACACTTATTCGTTTCTTAAATATAAACCAAATTGTGCTTTTTGCAGTGATATAAAAAGTTTTAATCATTTCAGTATTAAATAAATTGATATTTTGTCTGGCAATAAAAATGGCAGGGCATGACACCATGCTATTCCTTGCTAGCTGGAACACTGTCAGGAGTCCAGGCCTCCTCGGTACACCAGGAGAATTTTACGCTCTCTGTAGCGCAGGAATATGTTGTGGCAAAATTGAACACACAGCTGATTGGTCTTGGGTAAGAAAAATGACAAATCGCTAGACCGATATACCTGTCTTATCAAGATTACAGGGGAGCAAATGCAACTCCCGGCATGAAAGCTGGTCAATTTTACATTTAAGCTGTCACAGAACTCTTTTGGTATATACATCCAAGAGTCAAACTAGTCTTCTTGTATCATCCACAACGTGGTGCACGCTGAGCATTCAATTTTGTCGTGACATATTCCAGGGGTACAGAGAGCATAAATAAGCGTTACCCCTGGGGTGTTGAGGAAGGAGTCAAGGACTCAAATATGCTTTGATGGTGAGAATCCTTTAGCTAAAATGGTAAAAAGTAAAAGAACCTTTTAGCTAAAAGATATAAATATATATTCCAGTTAGTTATTGTGTGCATCAGGTTCAAAATAAGAAAACCAACTAAATAACTTCTACTTTTGATGTAGTTTGCCGGTTACGGAGGAAGCTTGTGTTCTAAAGATCCCTATGACAAAGATGACGAGGAAGCAGACGCTATATACGAAGCTGTCGACAAGAGGATGGACGAAAAAAGGAGGGAAAGGAGGGAGATAAAGTTGAAAGAAGAACTTGAAAAATATCGTCAAGAGAGGCCTAAAATTCAACAACAGTTCTCCGACTTAAAGGTTGGATATGTGTATAGGTTTTTTGTTTTACCTTTTGTAATGAATGCAGGTGTGTTTAAATCGGGTAAAATATTATTTATAAGGATCATAATTCTATCAACTTTGTAGAAACCTATAAAACATTGTTGGTACATCAGTTGTGTTCATCTTATACATTTATAACAGTGTTCAATTTAGCTACTGGCCCTCTTGTCCAGACCAGTGATATTTTTGTGTGTGTCGGTTCATTTTGCAAAGAACATTTAGCCATCATGGGTCAGTGATTTTTCTTGTTTCATAAACATTTCTGTTAAACATTTGTGGTAAAACATACCCTCCTAAGCTTTAGTTTACTAAAGCAGATTTTATTGCATATTAAAACAAAAGGATTAGGCACAAGTTATAACAACTTATTTATGTCTTTACCAGATTGAATTACAAAACAATGCATGCTAACACAAAAGTCTTTAAGCTGTAATTTAATATAATTAAAACAAATTGACAAATTCTATGAAAGGTAAGGTAAAAGTGTATGGGACATGGAAGTAGAAGGTAGAATATTGTAGTAAATGGTTTTAGTATAATCACATACACATGTAAAGATAATGATTTAACAATAGAAGTACGCTTCTGGCCTGGCTTCTCACTAGCACTGTTCACATACTTTCAGAAAACAAATGTCTGGTCTCATTCCTGTGTCCATCACTGTAGTAACCACTCATGTCTGCCTGTAGATCATTCCTCGAATCACAATATTCTTCCAGTCAGGCCAGACTTACGTTATCTAGATATTAATATTTACTGTGAACATAAAATTTTGAATTTTAAATATTCTACAAGTTAACATAAAACAGAGAGAGAGAGAGAGAAAGAGAGGGAGTGATAGGGGGAGCGAGAGAAAGAGAGAGAAAGAGAGAGAGAAAGACCATCTTTTATACTTAATGACTATTAAAATAATTCAAAAAATAACCAGGCATACATTAATGAAAGAATGGCATTCCCAGGCTCCATAAGTTATAAAATCAGACAGCCTTGAAAATAGGCCGACTTCAAAACTAAGCCTGGGATTCAGTACTGAAAACACAAATAAGATGCAGATTATTTTGGAGATTTTAAGGTATAGGATTTTTTTCTAATGATCTTTGGTAGAATCTCTTAGTCTTGTAAATGTTTGACATCATGACTATTCCTGTAATAATTTCTAGAGAGGTTTAGCAGATGTCATCCCTTGTTAATTCTTTGACAACTTGACTATTTCTGTCATAATTTCTAGATAGGTTTAGCAGATGTCATCCCTTGTTATTTTTTCAACAATATGACTTTTTCTGTCTTACTTTCTAGAGAGATTTAGCAGATGTAACGGTGGATGACTGGCTGAATCTACCCGAAGTAGGGGATGCCAGAACAAAGAAACAGAGAAACCCACGAGCTGAGAAGTATGTTTTGAGGACTGACACACCTATATGTTTAGGGCCAACTATCTGGTCACAGGGATTTCGTTCAAACGTTTTTCCTGTGTGCATGCTCCATGGAACTGGGAATCTTTACATGATAAAATGCTAAATTGTGAGAAAAAGCGAAAAATTTAATCAATGGAAAAACCAGAAAATTAAAAAAAAAGAAATTCCAGAATTTTACGGCAAAAATTGGTACTTTTAGCTGAGTTTTCCAATATATATATATATTTGACAAGCTCATTTTAATGAAGTTTTTTTTAATGATATAAGTATGTTACATTTTTTCGAATACAGTTTCACAAATACATGTTGTAGAAAATCATGAGGAGAGGATGAATAACTTCTGAGTTCTTACAGAATATGATCCTTTTGATCTGTGTCAAAAAATCGTCACTTTGTCATTCACTGCCATGTATTTCATTCTATAATATTTACGTGACTCCGTTGTAGATTTACTCCCGTACCAGACAGCATGCTAGCCAGAGCAGCAGCCGGTACTGGTTCAAGTAGTTCCATTTCTGGTCATGACCAGGTAAATCAATAATTAGTACTTGTATCGGCCATTATCCTCAGTTAGGTTGACAAACTACTTTATTTTCCTAAAATTGATATTAATATAAAGTACAAGGGAAAATGAGATCCACTTTCCATTAGAGAAGTTCAGTGAAGTGATGTAAACCCCAGTTGATGGATTGATTTCTAAATGGTGTTCACTTGTCTGGCAATAAGAGTAATCAAAATTCAAAAGAAAAGATAACCAGACAATATAAAATGGGGAGTCTCAGAAAATTCAATCCAGCTTACATTTTTTGGCTCACTTTAAGGTTATAAGTATAATTAGTATGTTTTCTATGTACGGTATACTGTTTATCGCAGTAAGTCTGAGTGAGCATCACAGTCAATGTATATCTTCTGAAGGTATGTACGTTATTTGTTAACCCTCTATACTATGAATAGAGCACTAAATCTATGCTGTTCACTGTGGTATATTTTCTCTTGTCATTAAACAGAACCACACTGCAGTAACATCAATAATCTTGCTTTACATTGATTTAACCCTTCTTTGGGGATTTTTTATTGAAAAAAAAACAAGCACCTAATTAATTTTTAGCCCACCATGGTCCGAAGGGCCTCTTGTTTAAAGATAATAACATTAATTTCAATACTGTCATTTAAAACCACTTACTAAAGAAATATCCAAAATATGTATAGCAGTGTTGGAACAAACTTTTATTGAGTTGATGGTTTCAACCACATATATTATGGTTTGCTATATTTGTTAGCTTGCTCAAGATTTTGAAGTGGTAATATTTTGTTTTTGTACAGCATTTAAGCTCAGGCAGTTGACTAATTTTATTTTTGAACTTGTAGTGGCGGTCAAACTGACCAGAATTTCGTGATTAAAAGATAATCCAGGATTTACTGTATCATTTCCAGAAATTTGGTGGTCATGCGTCGACTTTTGGGGCCATCACACCTCTAGGTGGGACAACCACTTCTGATATTGACATGAAGAAGATTGGGCAGGCGAGAAACACACTCATGGACATCAAGCTTACTCAGGTACCTACACAAGGACATCAAATTCACACAGCTAAAAAATAAAATAATAAATAAAATGTACAATATTTGATATAGCGCCCTATCTAGCTAACATAAGCCACTCTAAAGCGCTTTACAGTACATAGATATACAATTTTATACAGTCAATACAATTAGCATTTACATTAATCAATACAAAGTTTTGAGGAATTTGCAGGAGCTGCCTTCTTTATTATCAGGTGAGCATCAGAAATGTGTCCAAAGCCCATGAAAAACTTTACAGGGGAAGTTACTCTAACCAACACAACTCATAGGGTACATTCGCGTATCCGGTTGAAATGGTTGAACCGGTTGAACCTGTAAAGAAAATGACAGGCACTGATCTGGACGGAGGCTGACCTCAGGAAAATTTGGCACGTGTAGATTGAGGGGTCCAGACGTACCTGACCGAAACTATAATGCTGACTATTGTTAGTTTGCATTATTCTTTCTAAAACAATGTCAAGCCACATGTAGTTTTTAAGATGTGTGATATTATTCAGTGGACGCGTGAGAGCAGGGCATACTATTCTTGATACATTGTTTTGTATTCTCCGAAACTGCATTTTTAGCTCTGCTTATAGAGCGGTCCAAGTATGTTTGTTTATCGTGGAAAATTTCTGCGCCACACGTAACGTTTCAACCGGGATGCACGAATGTAGCCCTTTTCAGTTGCTACATCTTTTATATAGGAGGGAGAATACTCCATGTAAAAATGTATTTCACCATTTTTGTCTGTAAAAAAAAAATCAGTAAAATTTATTACCACTGAGTTCTGAGTTAATTTCACTTGTAGCAGGGAAACATCATTATTTGTTTCCGTGATATCAATTTTGCTTTTAGACAGCAGAAACTTTCCTTACTTTATTTGCTACTTTCTTTAAAACATTTCCTTTGATAGTGCATAACTCTCACTAGACAAAAATAATGGCAAAGCTATGTGGTATTAATTAAAATGAAACCACTGTATTATATTACAGGTGTCGGACTCGGTGAGTGGCCAGACGGTGATGGATCCCAAGGGCTACCTGACTGACCTCCAGTCCATGTTACCTAGTCATGGGGGTGACATCAAGTAAGAAACACACCTGAAAGAAATAATATCTAATCAGTAATATTTAATAATAATGATTATAATTCGAGTTTCTTATATACTGCTTTATCACAATCTAGTTTGTAGGGCGTCTCGAAGTGGTTCACAAATTATTATCCGTGGTTATAGGGCCTTTGCAACCAGCCAATATCTTTCTCAACTCCCTGGGGAGCATACAGCCGGTGCTGCTCACAGCTAGCATTCAACAATTTTGGCACTGCCCAACCCGTACTCATTTACAGCTGAGTAGACCGGAACAATCGGAGTAAAGTATCTTGCTCAAAGATACAAAATAGTGCCGTGCCGTGACTCGAACCTGCAACCCTTCGGTCACGTGCCGAATTTCCTACCACTAGACCTCAGTGCCTCCTTAATTATAAACTGGCATTAAGTATATGTGTACAGCCAAATGTGAGTGTTTTAGCCCTCTAGGGGATTAAAGATTCGTTTTCCAAAAATACATCATTGTGTACAGGTACATGTATAAGCAAGTTATCCTGATGAACCAGTAATGCTGAATGGCATTTAAACTATGTATGTTGATTTAATTGATAAAGGTTTATTTAATGGTTAAATATGTAGAATAGAGAATCCATTGAGACTTGATAAATGATAAACATCTGACCTTTCCCATGTGTCTTTGGTGCTATAAACAAGTGAATGGCTCTCATCCTTTTGGCATTGTTTTGCAAACTAAAATAGAATATTTTAATTCTATAAGTGAAATCAGAAGTCAATTTTAAAATCTGTAAATTTTGCAACTTTTTTAACAGTGATGTAAAGAAAGCCAGGTTGCTGTTGAAATCTGTGAGGGAAACAAATCCAAAACATCCCCCAGGTAAGTTACCTGTCCTGTTTACCCCTGCCCTACCCCTAGGCAAGTTACCTGTCCTGTTTTCCCCTGCCCTACCCCTAGGCAAGTTACCTGTCCTGATTACCCCTGCCCTACCCCTAGGCAAGTTACCTGTCCTGTTTATCCTCACCCTACTCCCAGGTAAGTTACCTGTCCTGTTTATCCTCACCCTACTCCCAGGTAAGTTACTTGTCCTGTTTATCCCCACCCTACCCCCAGGTTAGTTACTTGTCCTGTTTATCCTCACCCTACCCCCAGGTTAGTTACTTGTCCTGTTAACCTCACCCTACCCCAGGCTAGGTACTTGTCCTGTTAACCTCACTTTACCCCCAGGTTAGTTACTTGTCCTGTTTATCCCCACCCTACCCCCAGGTTAGTTACTTGTCCTGTTTATCCTCACCCTACCCCCAGGTTAGTTACTTGTCCTGTTTATCCTCACCCTACCCCCAGGTTAGTTACTTGTCCTGTTTATCCTCACCCTACCCCCAGGT